ATAGAAATTTAGTAGTCATCCCAACGTCACAGCATCCCAAATTATATTTATTGTGTTTCTGGTGGAGTTGAAAATCTCAGTAAAGATTTTATGCTTTATCTTTCATTCACCATGGCAACAGATCACAGGCAGAGTATGTCATCATTCTGAGGCTGACGAAGAAAAAGAAGTCAAGATTTATCATCTCAAGGATAGTAAGAACAGATGTGTGCAAATGAATGGCATAGCAAGCTACAGATCTCTATGGAGAAAAAAAAAAGATTTCTCGGGAGACATTGTATTAGTGCCTTTGATAAAGTGAGGTTATGGGGTATCAACCTTCTGCCCAAAGGCTGCATATGCCCAGCTCCTTTTCTATGGGCTCATAAATTAGTTTTTGACAGTATCAGTTTTGGTGGGCCTTTTTTTGTGCAAGTCGATGAGAAGGGCAAAATGTTCAGATACATTAAGGCTTAATTAATATTTTTTGTTATTAACAAAAAGGGCTGAAATCCTGGCTCCATATTTCCTGATGATATCTAGCCTCATAGCTCTTAAAGGTTACCATGCTGCCCCTGAAGATAGACCTTGTCTGCCCTTTTTTAGTGGGTCCAGCTACAGTCCAATCCATCTTTGGTACCCTTTACAACTGTTACCATGTACTATACTTTCTGAATCTTTTCTTTTGCAGGCAGTGCTTGCTCATCTCCATAAGGCACTTTATGGGGTTTGGTTTTTAAAAACCTCTGATCATTCTGCTTACCTTCCTTTGGATCTGTTTCTGTTTGTCAATGCTTGTCTTAATATTTGCCGCCAAGAACTCGACACAATACTTCAAATGCAGTTTGCCAACATATTGCCCCCAACAATCTGAGTCATCATTTTAATAAACTCGGAAGTATGGAAAGCTGAATCAACCTTGAGCTGGTCAGGATCAAACTTCTGGCTGTGGGCAGAGTTAGCCTGCAATACTGCATTCTAACCATTGTGCCACCAGGGCTTTCAGTAAATGTGATTTTGTTGGCAAGCAGTAATGCTCTTCTTTTCCTTTAATAAGATGGGCTGTTTTTTATTTTTTATTTTCCAGGCTAGTCTGACTGCAACTAGGATATTACTTTCAGGAATTAAGCAAGATGAAGGACTCCTTAATTGGCATTTTTGGATCTTATATTTGGAGAGTGTACATATTATTTTGTTTCTCTAACTTGGTTTAGAAAAACAAATCAGAGAGCCAAAAAATAAATTTCTCTTAAAAACGAAGAATGAATGTCTATTAGTGAAGCAAATTATCCCGGTTTTTAAAAGCATTATCTATATTTTCCATTGTACAATGGCGAACACAGCTGAGTAACATATTTAATATTATGTCACTGTCTTTTGTGTTGGAGTATTTTAATTACATGAGTAATTGAAGATTGTCAAAAGAATCCCAGGACTGTTAGAATCTTTTTCATTATGTATTTGCAAGGAAAACAAAAAGGATACTGCAGCGTCATAATAAATCAAAAACCAGTTAAACTTTAGGCTTATCAGAGCCACAGAAAACTTCTATCCTTAATTATGTTAAGAAGAGACAACAGGAGCAGCAGTATGAATGTTCAGACATTAGTATCAGTCTGTCCTGTGTTTTATTCCATAAAGTGCTGTGTTGGTTTCCCTAAGGAGAGTAAGACAGAAAACAATTCACAATCCATGCAACTATTGCAAAATGCTTCCTGAGTTTTCAATCCTTTCATTGTTTATGTAAAATATTGAGGGGGGAAAAATGACAGCAGAGTTCAAGAATGTGACATGGTAATATTTTGAAACAGCAATGTATCATCATTTTTTAATAGAAAGGTAAATGACGTGATTGATCTGTGATGATTCATTACCTGACATATAGTATACATGCCACCATGTGACCTGGTCCTTTGTATCCTAACTGAAATGCCCGGAAAAGTTTCCATAAAAATAAAACGGACATGTATTTTCTGAAATTCAACTAAAGAAAAAAATATCGTAAAATGTAGATAATGGTTTCTATTTTAATACACATAGTTGCATATGTACAGCATTTGGCTGCAAGACAGAAAATGCATGTTCACTCTGCTCTGAACACATTTAAAATCTTATGTTAAAGATGGGGATCTGTATCTTTCCAGAAGCTATTTGATTACAACTCCCATGGATCTTGATCACTGCCAATGCTGGCTGGAGTTGATGGATACTGGAATAGCTGGAGAGCTATCACTTTGGTTCCCCATGTGTGGGGCCATGACTAGACTGAACTCTAATGTTACATTTCCTAACTAGCCTGCTCCCTAGTATCCACGCAGTGTGAACATTTACAGGAATTTGGTGCCGGAACTCTGTTCTGGGTGTTCTATGAGAAAAAAAGCCCTGGTCATAAGTCACTTTTTTCAGTGCTGTTGTAACTTTGAACGATCATTAAATGAACTGTTGTAAGTCGAGGACCACCTATAATCCAGTCGGGGAATAGGGGGCTAAAGAGCAGAGAAGTACTGGGGATCAGAATCAGAATCATAAATAAAACACCACCATCCAGAAACTTTAGGGGACACTATCAAAGGCTGAGATTCATCCATTTCATACATACTGCATGCTGTTCAGAAGTTTTAGCCTTGAATTGGTTCCTTAGATAAGAAGAATTAAGATCATACTTCTAAAGTCATCTCCTCTCCTATAAGATACATTATTTTGTGGCATTGAGTCTGTAGAATTAATAGCCTTTTGGTTCTATTTCTGTGGGACTGATTTACTGGCACTTAACGGTGGCTGAATGTCCTCTCTCTTGCTTTCTTTTTTTCCCTGAAGGTCAAAACAAAGCCTTAAGGCAAGTATTTCTCTGCAAGTTTTAAAAAGAAGAGCAGAAAAAAAACCCTGATCTAAAAGGTTTGGCAGGAGCTACAGAGACTACATACAGAATGCTAGATAGCCACATATGTTTGCCTACACCTGTTTTAAAACATAACATATTACTAAACTAACGACTCTACATGCAATCATGTAACCACAACAGTACATGATGCAGCAGTGTCACTAGAACTGGGCACACTCTTAGCCAAACAAAAATTGGACTTAGCTAGTTACCACATATTTCTTTGCAGCAGAAGTGTTATCTGGAAAGGACACATATGGATCAATTTTTCTGTTTGTTTAATAAACACACAAAAACAGGGCTGTATTGTTTTTTCATGCAGAGAATTATAATATCCAGCGATAACGTTGAGTGTGGGCAAGTGCAGGAAAGGCTTGTGTGCTTGTGCGTGAGCGTGCATGTATATGAATCTATTCTGTCCTCCATTTTTGCAAAGCTCTTGGTCTTGAAAACAACAGCTCTGTCATAATTTCTGTGCAACCTCCCTTTCAAAATTGCAACCTTTCACCCTGTGCCCAGCAAAGAAAAGTGGTGACATGTGCACACACCAGATGGGGGCCCAAGGTAACAGAAACAGTCAGGATTCCTTATGAAAAGCAGCCTTACAGTACACCAGCTGTCTAATTGCAAGTTGCACTTCATCGGTTAAGTCTACCCAACTTGACAGAGAAATGAAAAACATGTATTGTTTCTTAGGCAAGTTTAAACTCGAGATGGATAAATAATTGCATTCATTTCCTTTTTGAAAAGAAAACCAAAACCCGTAGCCGAACATGCATGAAAGAAAAAAAACAACAACCCACTTACCATTAATTCAGATATCCCAATGGCCCAGCCAAGGATTTAGAAATCATCCTTACTATTTTACTGCTCGTTGGTGAGGAATTTTACAGTGAGTTTAACAGTCACAATCTAGTTCACTTGATTTATACAAGAGGACACAAACTTTCAATTTTTTTATATGAATTGAGCCCTGAAAAGCTTGATCAGCATTTCTTAGATAGCTATTATGTTATACAACAATTGTATGTCCGGGTTTGGATTGAAACATGAAGAACATTTAGATACTTGAACCAGTGGAACAACTGCATCATAAATCATTTACTAGAAGGCTTGTCAAGAATTATAAATTTTATTCACTGTTAGATTATAATAAGTAGGCATAGATTTCTCCCAAAATATAAGAGATGAGAAAGAAACACCAAATTTAGCAATTATTATTTACTCAAGAGCACTTTTTCATTTATTCTGGCATTTTATCACTTATTGCCTGACACATATGTTGAATATTACAGGCAGGGCTTCATTTAACCAAAGCATAGTGGTATCTGGTCACGGTGAATTTAGTGATATCAATTATACAATAAGTCTCCTAAACGTTTCGCTTAATTTATTTGGTTCAATTTACAAAGTTTACACTGACTGCTAAAAGGTAAACCAGATTACAATTTATATGAGGCGCAGTTTCAGCACAATTTTAAAGCCTCGGAAGCAAACATGACTCTTGTTCCGATGTCACATGAATTTAGAAACAGATTTAAGAGAACTTGCAGAATGCTTCCATTCTAGTATCTCTATACTGTTACCACGATAAGGCATCATCCCTCAAGCAGATACCTGGGCAGCTCCCTCAGAGTCTGTATGTCAGACATACAGAAAGAGATCCTCTAAGGCAGGGGTGTCAAACTGGCGGCCCGCAGGCCGGATGAGTCACGCACAGGCCACACGCACCCCAGCTCCGCAAAGGCAAAAAACATAGTGACACGTCACGATACGTCATATGAGGCGATTGAGTTTGATACCCATACTCTAAGACAAAGGTCCCCAATCTTGGCCACGTTATGACTTGTGGACTTCAACTCTCAGAATTCTTCTGCCAGCATTGCTGGTGGAGGAATTCTGGAAGTTGAAGTCCACAAGTCATAACGTGGCCAAGGTTGGGGACACCTGCTCCATGAGATATCTGGAAAGGGTATAAGTACAGAGTAGTAGAATAGAAAAGCAGCATATGCAAAAGGAGCATTTGCTGGAAACTGAATATGAACTGTTTCAGGAACTAGCTGCCTCATCCATTGCAAAACCGTAGAACTATGAAAATTAATTAAAGCTTTGGATCCAAACTTCACAGAGTCTCCGTTTTCTATTCTAAAGAAGAAAAATGCTGAATGTTTCCTGAAGTTTTACTTCGAAGTTTTTGTGGTCTCTGATCACCCGTCGTTTTTTCTTTCTCTGAAGCTACCTGACTATTATCAGGAGCATTAGCTTTCCACTGGTTCCACCATTTCACAGCTGCAAATATCGAAGCAGCCAGAACTATAAGGGCAAAAATAATTCCAAAAACAATTCCAACAATTTTGCCTGATCCAGATCCTGATTCAGGTGTAGGAATTGTTGCACTTTGGGTTGGGTACATTGGAATAAAAGTAGTCTCATCTTCTTTTGGAGGAACAAGGGTAGGGAGAATTGTGGGGGGGACAGGGGGTGGATGAGGGACAGGAGGAGGGACAGGAGGAACTGGTGGAGGTGGTCTGGTTGGTTTGGTAGTTGCTACACCCTCGTCACAACGTGGAGGAGGAGGTTTCCATGTATTATCAGCAGCACATTTAACCACAGTGGCCCCTACCAAAGTATAGCCAGGATTGCATTCAAATGATACACTATCACCATATGTATATGTAGGTCTATATAAAGATACCAATCTCCCGTTTCGGATGCTTGGTTTTGCACAATTGACTTTTTTACATTCGGGTGGAGGTGAACTCCACTCTCCATTCTTACCATCAGCTGCAACTACACAATTAATTGTTGAACGTCCAATAAGGGAGAAATCGGCATTACACCGGTATACAACAGCCATGCCCACAGAATATTCATCTGTAGGATCAGCATCATACCTTCCATTGGAAATTGTAGGAGGGCGAACACAAGGAATCCGTTCACAGTATGGAATGTCTCTATGCCACCTAACTTCGCCTCCTCTTAGAATACATCGAAGGATACTTTCACCTATCATTCTGAATCCAACTTCACAGGCCAAGGTTACTGTTTCACCAAGCCGAAGATCATCTGAAGTTACTATTCTTCCATTTTCTAAATGTGGAACCGGACATCGCTTTCCTTGACATAATTCTGGAATCTTTGTCCACGTTCCCTCTGGAGAGCATGTCATAAGAGGACGACTCCCAGGTATAAATTCATGACCTGGGATGCACACTAATCGCAAAACAGTTCCAGGGGGATAGCTATCTTTTAGGTCTTCTGAACCTCTTAATCTAGAATGGGGGGGTAAGGTTGGAGTTAAGCAGTCGCACAAAACAGTGGAAGCCAGGAACAGCAGGAACAAGACAACTATTGGGACCCCATTGGAACAAGGAGAAAGAGCCATCGGAACACCTACAGAGTCTGGAGAAACATCCTCTGGGCCTATAAACAAAAAAAGTTGAAGTTTGTGGAAGAAGTTTTATATTATATTTGTGTTATAATATAAATATATATTATATTTATATTACATATGTATTATATATATAATATTTATAATATTTATACCATATTTGCAGATTCCAAGAAACTGGTCACACCTAGCTGAAGCTGTGGCAGATACATTTAGCAGGCAAAGCTTAGCAATTTGTGTCTATTTTAAAATTTTGTCTTTTTATCATTTATAACCAATCATATTTGAAATCTTGCATTTTTTTTATTTATCATCTTTAGAAACTGCCCATGTTCCTCATAGAGTGAATATATCATTTCCTGTTGTATTGGGATCTTGCCCATAGAATGTTACCAAACATATCCATGAGTGCTTAACCTGGCTTTGCAAACCCATAATACGTCTTGGAGACCAAAGTCCTCTAGTATCCTGCTTGCAGATGAGATGAATCTCATCTTGAGAAGGAAGAGAAAACTTGCAAGTTGCAGACTTTTCTCCCACAGATCCTAGATTATTAGGACTGAAAATGGAACACCACCACTTTTCTGATACAGGGACATGAGCAGCTTTGCACTCACTGTGGGACTTTCAAAAGTCCCAATGTACAGGGAGGCATTTTGTAAGATGGTGGCATGCTCAACGTAACGTTGGAGTTGATTCTTTAATCTAGAAAAATGTCGCAAAGGCATGCTCTTCTGGAGCTATGCAGCAGATGGTGGCCCACTGGCAGGAACGCTTGCCACACAACATCCCCAAATCTTGCATCCATGGCCATTGGCAGGAAAATGACAGGAAAATTACAAGCACTGGTGGCCTTCCTCTTTCATGACATAATTCCCTCCCCAAGCTGTCTTTTGGGGATCTAGGCCTGGCCTGTTCTGGTTAACTATGGTGACTCTACATGCCTGTGAATTAACTGGGCCTGCAAGGCCCCCTGTGAGGATTTCTAGGGAAATCCTTCCCCAAGACTCCACACTTGTCTTGATCTCTCGCAGGAAACCCCACAACTGGCAGCCCTCTGTCCCAGGCCCATGCCACTAGAACCTCTTGGTCCTGGATCCTTCAGGGTCTACCTCAGGTCTCTCTGACAGGCCTCAGTCACAGCTCCATGTACACTCTCCTGCTGGGCAGCTTCTGGTGTCCAGGGCCTATGCAAAGACCATCTAGGCCTCTGCTTCAGATCTGCTGGGCCTTTTTCCGGCTCTGCACAGCACAAGTATGTCCAGGCCAGCTCAGCCCAGCAATACTGAAGCAGCAGCAGGCAACCTTTTGGTAATCAAGTCTGTGCTTAATCTTTTTAGGGGCTGGGAGATACAAACTGGACAAGATTGTGTATGGATAGTGCTAGAATTTGGGCCAGGTTTTGTAGATTCTCCTCCTCTTTTTAAAGATGATATTTTGATTGTGAAGATGGCTGTTTTGATTGAAGAAATGGCTAAATGAACTCGTTTGATCAAAGAGGGGACTACAATTATTTTGATTAAAAAAAACTGGAAATTCTTTATAAGACTATTTTGCTGAAAGTGGGTACAAATGAATTGCTGATTTAGGGATTTGATTTAAAAAGTTTGTTTACGGGAAGAAGGAAACGATGGCAGAATGTAGATGGTAATTACTACGTTTGTAATGCTGCAAAGACTGCATGTCACCTCTGTAAATATCTTTCTTGCTTTTTTGTTATTCACTGTTTCTTTTACCGTTTTGTGGTCTTTTTCTATTTTTTCTTTGTTTCTGCAGTGTTATAAATTTGTAAAATATTCTTTCTTTCTTTCTTTTTTTAGGTGATATTTCAGAGCTCAGGCCCTGCATTTTCATTTATTTCCCATCTCAGGGGAAAACTAACCTTAGAGCAGGTCAGTGAGGATGCATAAAGCATCAGTTGGGATGCAGAACTGGAGTGGAAAATGCTACTTAGCAGCTGTGAACCAGTGAAGACTCTGCAATTGTTGTTACACAACTCTGTGAGGAAGTGAGCCAGGAAATGAAATTAACTGCTGTGGGATCTTTACAGGCCTACTATTTAACTGACAAGCACAGAAGTGTGAACTATAATATTTCAAATGCATCCTCAAGGTGATTGGAAAACTTGGCAGACATCATTGTGAATGCTGGAATGCAGGAAGGTTAGTTTAGAAGATGTTCATGGCTGACATTCTTGGGCTTTGCGAATGTAAATCAAAAGCACAAAGAATCAGTGGGGACTGATCACATAATATGCTTCTCAGTCTATGGGATGTAATATTATCTGGGCATCAGTCTCAGTTCCTATGAAGTTGGTGGAGAGCCTAGAGTGTTTTTATAGCTGCAGGCAAATCTAGGTCCCCAATCTAGCTTTCCAAACAATGATGAAAGAATCATCTTTCTGTTCCCTTTGTTCTCAGGAAAAGATATAGTTCTGTAAGAGTATAAATGATGTATGAAATATAAAGAAAAGCCTAGTCCCAAATGAACAGAGTAAAGGAAGCACTTAATGCTTTAATGTGTTATTTATCTATTTGTTAATTGGCACTGTCTTTAGACAAATTGCCTTTGCAAAGCAAAAACAAAACCTCAAGAGCCTAATAAATAATTCCTTATTTCACCCACATCTTTTCTTCACAAGCAGAGGCATGTTCTCTTTCCATCACATGAGATTTGTTTTGTTTTGTGTGTGTGTGTATGTGTGTGTGTGTGTATGTTGTGTGTATGTCCTGCCTTCTCAAGAGTCCCTTCTTTTTATCTATCTGACATTTTTCTTCTTCACTGATGTGGTGAAATGAGAAGCTGTGGGAGAAGCAAACGCAAAATGTTTTGTCTCTGGAGACGAAACATTGAGAGGAACTCCAGAACATTCTGTTCTTCCTGAAGACAACACCAGACTGGCCATTCTGGGGTGGTCCAGCAATTTTCCAGAAGTAAAGCTTTCCAGAAGAGGAAGTGGTTTTTGACACGAGCAATTACTTTTCATGGCACACAAAATTCTTTCTCTTTGACTGGGTTTGTACAATGCACTAATTGAAACTATACTGTATCCCTGAGTTCTTCATACAACACACAACTGAACACAATCTATAATGAGCCACAAACTAAAGCACATCTCATCTTGATCTGGTATTATAAAGCCAGAACTGATTACAATATGAGAAGAAAGCAATAAACTTAGCCTTTCTAAACCTTAAGAAGTTCTCCATCCATGTCATTTTTTTTCCAGCACGCAGGGAAAACCAATTACTGCCAAGTTATTGGAAATACTGTGAATTGAATCTCGGATCTTTTGCACAGAGAAAATGTCAGCTAAGCTGTTCAGAGGATTAGAATGGTGTGATTTAACTAGTTTACCGTCAGCTTGTAGAAACACAGAACTCATTGCACCGGGAAGCATGACTGGTGAAATGGGTCTGGTGAAAAGCATGTCCAATTGGTTGGAATTCCACATGAATGTATGAGATACAACAGTCCTTACATTCAAGGAGCAAAAGTTGAGTGATAGCTCTGCAAAACTAATGTTGACAGGAGATGATGATGATGATTATAAGAGCAGTATCTTTTTGGTCTTAAATATTTAAAATGCCTTAACTAGAATAAAGTAATGTCTCAGAATGTTATGTTTCAAGAATAACTCTTTATGTTTGATTCCAAATTACTTATGAGAGAACCAACTGATGTAGTGGTTAAGGCATCAGATCGAAACAAGGAAACCATGAATTCTAGCCTGCTTTGGGCACAAAGCCAGCTAGGGGACCTTGGGCCAGTCACTCACTATCAGCCCTAGGGAGCAGGCAATGACAAGTCACTTCTGGAAAACCTTGCTAAGAAAATTGCAGGGACTGTCAAGGCAGTTGTTTTTAACACTGACTCAAAGGCACTGATAAATAAATATTGGCTTGGTAATACCATGCAAATCCTGCCAAGTGATCCTCTTTCTACAGTCACCTTGTTCTGGCTCTCAGAGTCCTCTAAAAATATATTCTGTAGTTTGTAGTAAGGCAGGAAACGAGGATTCAAGGCTGCATTTATAGCAGAAAAATTAATGAACAAAAATTAGTTAATCAAAGTGGGCTTTCTGAAATTCACCTCAAAGGTTATTGGTCTAATAATAATTTGTAGAGAGCAGGGGAACAGTTTCCAATTTTCACATAGAATTTATTATTATTTTAGTGCATCCAATTGAAATGATGCTTCCTCGCTCTGTCTGGGACTGTTAGCAGCTGCAGATGTCTTCCAGGTCTGCAATAGGTTTTTTTGTAAGTATGCGGAGGGATATTATATTTCTTTGTTTCTCCTGTTTCAACATTTCTCTTCATTTTCACTGAAGTATCTCTTCAGTTCTTGATCCAGGGATGTGTAATTGGTCCTTGTTCGGTGTTTACACAAGACAGATGGAGCACATTGTACTGGGAATATGTGGAATTGCAGATGCGCCTTTGAGCTTTTTTAAAAACATAGAAATGGGGAAGGGGAATGGTTTTTTAATAAACATTATTAATAAACTAAATTCATTCTGTGCATTCTCAATTTACTGCGACAAAAGGACTTGCTGGGCTTCGCTAGGATTCCCCAATCACGTGGTATCACAGAATGAATGGTGGCGTGACCTCACCCCATCTTTACACATTATGATGTTAACATCATTGGGGCCTGCGACCACACTGCTGCTCCCTGTCCAATATGCATTCATTATGCACCAATAAATATTTGAAAAATTATTATATTCTAAAGAAATTGGGTATAATAGCTGATCTACAAGCAGCTGCACATATGAAGCTTCAAGCCTTGCCTGTTTGTTATGCATTATAGTTATGATTATTTATATCAGCCTCATCATCTGTGTTTTTTAGAAAAAAAGGGGTTCCCAGAGCCAAACATGTATAATCAATAATTTTTAAAAAAATAAAAAAATGTCCTTACCTGCAGATATTGTCAGACTCCAGGAACTAAGAACGACACGTGGAGTAGTGTCTGAATAGTTTCTTTTAGTGTTTTTCACCTGTTGTTTTGACACGCAGGCAGGAGCAGATGCTAGGATAGTATCCACAACTACACGTAAATTAAGCAGTTTTCCAAAGCAACCTGACAGCCCCATTAGTTATACTAATAACGTTCAGCCCCAATTTCCCCCAGGGCAGCCACCCACAATCAGTGAGAGCACAGTTCCAAGGACAAAGTCCGATATCTACAAAAGAAGAGCAAAGTTCAAAGTTCACAGAGCAGGGTCCAAAATCTATAAGGCAAGAACAAGGTCTGAAATCTACAGGGCAGGATCCAAAGTCCATAAGAACAGGGTCTGAAGTCCACAAAACAAGGTCCAAAGCCCACAAAGCCAAAGCAAGATCCGACATTCAAAATGTAAATTCCAAAGTTCACAAAGTCAAAGAGAGTGCGTAGCAGACACAAATGGTTGTTCTTGACAAACACACCTTCCCTTGTGCCTTGCTAAATCACCTGAAATCAGGTGGGGGTTTTTTTTAGGAGGGGCAAAGGCTGTTTCCTCACAAGTAGCCTTGCTGACCTCTTCTGTGCTACCCTACACTCTGCTCTTTTCTCCCACAGATCGGATGGGGGGTGGCAGCTATTTCTAATCAGAAGCGGTTTATTGCTGCTCATCAACACTAACCATTGGCAGACACTAACCATCCTGCTCCGCTTCTTCTAGTGCAGGCAGCTGACCATCCAATCAACCACTCCCTCCAATGCCAAACTGGCCTGGGACTGTGTCTTCCTCAGCCCCTGGGCTCTCAGGACGCTCCTGGGAATTCATGTCATCCCTTTCAAATAGCCCCATTTCCAGTTCATTTTCCTCCTCCGAACCGACTTCCAATGGGGCCATCACACCTATAGACAGAATCTTGCCATACCGAAGCAGCTATTCGCTTCACTGTAGATACACTCTGAGAAGCCACTTTAACCCTCTTTCTACTAACCAAACTTTCCAAACTCTGCTGCCTCTGCCTGCTGGAAAGCAGCCCTTCCTCCTGGGAATTCGGACAAATTCACCTCAGACTTGAAATTGAAACCATCATACAAAAGAAGAAGAAGGATGGGGAAAGGAAAAGGGAAGAAAAACCAATATCTTCATTAATTCTTCCATAATAAATAGCTAGATATAATTCAGGAAAGAGGAATCTAATAGAGTGAATTTTGGAGCAATGCTGATGGAATAATGATCAGGTTATATACAAAGAATCTAGTGGGGACCAGGATATAAACACAAGGTTAAAGGGTTAAGTTTGATCTAGGATAGACAGTTTGGTGCAATGGTTAAAGCATCAGGCCAGAAACCAGGAGACTGAGAGTTCAAGGCCCACCTCAGCAATGAGAGCCAGCTGGGTGACCTTGGACCAGTCACTCTCTCTCAGCCCAACTCACCTCACAGGGTTGTTGTTGTGGAGAAAATAGGAGGAGGGAGGAGTATGAGATATGTTTACAGACTTATTTCTGAAAATAATAAAGGTGGGATACAAATAAATAAATAAAAATGGAGCCCTCCTAACTGAGGTAGGAGCTTTAGCACTTGATTTTGGCCATATTAAGCAAATGCAATGTCTGAATCAGTTGTGCTGTCAGAGCTTAGAATAGAATAGAACTGGAAGGGACCTTGGAGGTCTTCTAGTCCAGACCCCTGTTCAAGCAGGAGGACCTATACCATCTCAGACAAGTGACTGTCTAGCCTCTTCTTAAAAATCTCCAGTGATGGAGCACCCACGATTTCTGGAGGCAAGCTGTTCCACTGGTTAATTGTCCTCACCATCAGGAAGTTTCTCCTTAATTCCAGGTTGCTTCTCTCTTTGATCAGTTTCCAACCATTGTTTCTTGTCCTGCCCTCTGGTGCTGTGGTGAATAACGTGACCCCCTCTTCTTTGTGCAACTTTTCCTAAGACAGGATTGTATGGTTAGGTTGGCTGGAGAAGAAAAAGAAGAGACAGGATTAGGACAGCCAAGAACAGCTTCTATGGCAGCATAAGAGTTTTCATGGTTTATTGTGTGTGTGTGTGTGTGTGTGTGTTGGGGTGGATACAAGATAACAGGAACTTCCTTGGCAAGAGATACCATAAATGCTTCTTATATTCACAATTTGGGTAGCAAGGCCACTTTGGATGTTTGTGTTCAGCCTAAAATTAACAATCCCCCCCCCCCCAAGATCAAATATAGGGAGAAAACAGATCTTTAAGATTGTTAAAGAAGCTGACTGTGCGCAAAGTTTATTGTCTAACACCTTCAGTATTAGCAATGTTAGCAACAGTAAATCCTTCTTTCCTGTTTCTATTAGTGTTGGGGGGGATGGTAGAAATCCCAGTCATGACTGGTTAAGTGCACATGGGCCATCCATAAAAACAAAATGAGGTAATTGTATGGAAGAAAAGTTCAGAGTGATGATGACTCCTGTGTTTAGTTGACTGGTATAAACCTGCATCACCTCACATTGGAGAGCTGGCAAGAGGCCCCACGCATACTGTAGTTGAAAAACCAGCTATGAGTCACTTCTCTTTATACAGTACATCAGTCTTCACTTAGAACCACTATTTTGAAGATCTGTCTTAGCCCTGAAATTCTGGAATGTGACAAATATATATTACAGAAGATATATAGATGGAGGTAATACGTCTTTGAGAAATGTGTTAAAAGTCAGATGGATTCATAGCTCAAGATGATGCTGGAGCATACCAATAAAGCAATATATTTGAAAGTTGTTGTAGGAAACTTCCTAAATCTCTCAGATAGGCCTAAGCCTGACATAAATGGTCCAGAGTCAAATACCATAGTGTATTGCGAAAAAGAACAGATCATAAATCAGAAGGAACAGTATTATAATTACTTATTTCACTGATGAAATCTCCCATAAAGTGAGATGTACAGTATAGCAAAGGTCATTAAGGCTTAACCAGAATATAACTCAGTACTGTCAAAACGCCTGACTGATTCTCCAGGGTCACTTGATTTTCTTTTTCCAATTAGTGAGGCTGGAAATAGAAAAAAGAGAGAGAGAAATACTTCGTTTTGAGGTAGGTTAATTTAGGACGCCTCTCTGACTCTTTATTATCCCAAGAGCTGCAAAATAACATAGATCCCTTTCTCAGCAGAGTGGATAAGAAGGGACTCCCCATTCCTGAAAATGTGACTACAGTAGTGGCCACTTAGAAAAACAATGCCTGGGATGAAATATGAACAAATTGTCAATTGTAATCTACCTTTTATGTATGCATTTAATATACTGTAGTGTCCTGTTTATACATTCCTGTGGGGATTCATATCTTGCACATGTGAGTAGTAATTTTGTAAATGAACACACATCCAGGATTAGTAGAGAACATGGGCTTTGACCAATACAGGTCTTCTTCTTGGCAGTAAGTGCAGGGTGTCAGTTATTCCTCCATGTGTAGGACCAGATCAGACTCTCTTAAGTATTATTACAGAATGTGGTAATTACTTCTTTGTTAAGTACTTAACCACATCATACCAGTTCATCTAGTTTACATACACCTTATCCAGGCGTCCACTCCCTGCATAATTAGTAAGCTATGAACGAAAAGGAATCATACAACGCAAGGGTTGGTAAGGACTTTAGAGCTCACCGCACCCCTGTGCAGAAAGCTAATACTTCAACATCCCTGACAGGTGGTCATCTACCCTTTTCACTAAACTACCTTCCCAAGTAATTTGTTCCAGTTGTTGAGCAGCATTTTCCTTTAGGAAGCATCATCTTTCTTCATCCTGACCTCACATTCACATTTCTAGCTCTGAGCTCCATCAGCTTCCATGCGCTGGTGGTTGCCTGTTCATGGCAGAGAGCTTGTTCTACTCTATAATAAGCTCCCCATATTAATTAACTGATTGATTGATATTATTTTTTTTATAAACAATTCAAGGTTTGGGAACATATCTAATACTCCTTCCTCCTCCTGTTTTTCCCACAACAACAACCCTGTGTGGTGTGTTGGGCTGAGAGAGAGGGGGGAGGGGCTGGTCCGAAGTCACCCAGAAGCCGTGCCTAAGGCAGGATTAGAGCCCACAGTCTCATGCTGCAAGAAGGTTTGTAAATTACGCAAAGAGCTTCTAGAAGTCAAAGTAGAAAAATCTTCCCCACTTCTTCTGCCTAAGGTATCCCTCAATCCCTCAATTAGCCAGAAAGCCACAAATGTACTAAGTAGTATCAGGAATATCACTGCTAACACAATATTATATTGCAATGGGGAAATTATATACAGAGCTGGGGTAAGAATTACAGTGATAATATACACGGAAGTCAATGTATATTAATGTTATTTAAGTTATTTCTACTTAATTATACTTAAGTAGGTGGCATACTTCAACTAGATAGAGATGCTTGACATTCTAAAAGATATGCAAATAAACAGTCTTAACAATATTAAATTCTCTAAGAAGGGACGATTATAGGCACAAATACTCAGAAATAATTCAGAAGAAATGCTTTAGATTTTGCATAAGCATAGCACGTCTCTGCTACTCATTAAACCAGGCCAATTCTTTTTCTAAATTTTAAAAATATGCTGCTACTTTGAGGAGTGTAATTCCTCAAAGTTAATGTGACTCTTAAAAATCTCCTTTCTTCAACTTTTAAAAAAAAATCAGGGTGCTTTAGCAAATTTTCAAAGTATGCACAACTATAACAGGTACAAAGCAAAATGATCTCAGTTTATGCAAATTAGCAGGGTTGCTTTTCCCAGCAAGAAGAGAATTTGGTCGAAACTCACCTGTTGAAAAAGCCCTCATGACATTTCCTTGCTAAATGTCTCTAGGGTGGAGAGAAATTCTCCCAACAGGTTTTCTGGGTTGTGTTCCCTATTAGCTCTGAAACTTTTCCTTCTTTGTTTTGCTTGCTGCCTAGCAAGTCGTCACAAAAGCATTTGTGTTCACATAATAGCATTTTCTAGTGACTACAATGACCAAACCTATTTAATCCCAGGGCACTGGGTAGTATGCCCTTGTGTGTGTTTATAGGTGAATGGGTGGTATAACAGCCATTGTAAAAAATAATAAAATAAAGTAAATAAAATAAAATAAAATACAAAGCACATTCCTCTAGCAGGATAATGATAATGATAAGGATAAAGTTGGAAGGGATCCTGGAGGTCATCTAGTCCAATCCCCTGTTCAGGCAGGAAACCCTATACCCTTTCAGACAAATGGATGTCCAGTCTCTTCTTAAAAACTTCCAGTGTTGGAGCATTCCCACCTTCTGGAGGCAGGTTGTTCCACAAATGAATTGTTCTAACTGTCAGGAAATGTCTCCTTAGTTCTAGGTTAGTTTCCATCCATTGCTTCTTGTCCTGCCTTCAGGTGCTTTGGAGAATAGTTTGATTCCCTCTTCTTTGTGGCAACCCCTGAGATATTGGAACATTGCTATCATGTCACCCCTAGTCATTCTCTTCATTAAACTAGACATACCCAATTCCAGCAACTGTTCCTTATATGTTTTAGCCTCCAGTCTCCTGATCATCTTTGTTGCTCTTCTCTGTACTCTTTCTAGAATCTCAACATCTTTTTTACATTGTGGTGACCAAAATTGGATGCAGTATTCCAAGTGTGGCCTTACCAAGGCATTGTAAAGTGGTATTAACACCTCATGTGATCTTGATTCTATCCCTCTGTTAATGCAGTTAATCTGTTGGCTTTTTTGGCAACTGCAGCACACTGCTGGCTCATATTGAAGTGATTGTCAACTAGGACTCCTAGATCCCTCTCACACTTGCTACTATTGAGCAAGGTACCACCTATACTATACCTGTGCATTTGGTTTTTCTTTCCTAAATGTAGGCGCTTCCTTTTTTCACCACTGAATTTCATTTTGTTAGATAGCGTCCAATGTTCAAGTCTATCAAGATCCTTCTGTATCTTAAGCCTGTCTTCTGGAGTGTTGGTTATTCCTGCCTGCTTGGTGTCGTCTGCAAATTTGATGAGTTTCCCATCTATCCTCTCATCCAAATCATTGATGAAGATGTTGAAGAACACTGAGCCCAGAGCAGAGCCCTGGGACCCCCCACTACACACTTCCCTCCATGTAGATGCAGTTCCATTGAGGACCACACGCTGAGTACAGCCGGTCAGCCAGCTACGAATCCATCTGGTGGTGATGCTGTCTAACCCACATTTTTCTATCTTATCAAGTAGTCAGTTGTGATCTCCTTTATCAAATGCCTTACTGAAATCCAAGTAAATTATATCCACAGCATTCCTCTGGTCCACTAATTTTGTCACCTGGTCAAAGAATGCAATAAGATTATGTCCAACCCAGGAAGCATAATTAGAAGTCTTTGGGCTTCAACATAAATTTTGTAGATTGTCCCCATTGGTCTTTTATTGTAGAGGTATTGGTTACATTCAAAGGAGCAGATCTATACTGATACCTGGCACTTCCACAAACAAGACACTGTTGAAGAGTGCAGTCCTGGGAAGCCCTAGGAAGGAGACAATGGCAAACCACTTCTGAAAAACCTTGCCAAAAAAACCCTGCAGGGACTTGTCCAGGCAGTTTCCAAGAATCAAACATAATTGAATAGAAGAAAAAAATGGGGGTAGATGCCTGCCTGACAGTGTAAAATTAGGTGCTTGTATATTTACTGGAATTATTGAGTTTACACACAACTTTCTTACATCCAGCAAGGTGCTATTATCTAGCTGAACTTGGCTGACCTCAGAAAGGTAACTTGGGTCAGACTGGGTTAGAATTAGTTGGGAAATCGCTAAAAGTGCTGGGGTGTAGGGTGAACTAGGAAGTAGACAACCACAATAACAAGGGGAGGTGGAGGAAATGGGAAAGCATTGCCTTATTGTTGCTGAGAACACTACATGG